TGCTTTTTTGCTCAAGGATCGGCGGTAATTCCTGGTTATCGGGCCCGCCCGCCCCGCCCCCCCTGACCTTGTCTGTTGCGCAGGTCCGAAGTGGGCACGCAGTGCTGATGCGCGCGGGCACACGTGGGGCTGCCCAATGCAAAGATGTTAGGGTACCAGCCGCTCCCTCCCGCGGATAACCCAGGTTATCGCCGAAATCTACAGCATTGGTCTCTCGCGTCCTCCTCTTGTGCTAGATTGACTAGCGGGCAAATTTGGAGAATCTGTACGTGTCCCGCACAGGAGGACACCCAGCGGCACAGCCATGGGGCATTGAAACAACCACCCCCGCCTCTGGCGCCTGCCCTCCCTCTACCCCCCCACGCCGCCGCGTGGGTGTGCGGTCGAGGATGGCCACCCTCCTCCTCTTCCTCCTCCTCCTTCAAGTCCTGTCGACCCTCCTCCTCCTCCTCCTCCTCCTCCTCCTCCTCCTCCTCATTGTCCTCCTGCTCTTCGTCCTCCCTCCAGTCCTCCGCATCCTCCTCCCCCTCCATCCTGATTATTGGCCTTTGGCCTCAGCAGAGCGCTACCTCTCCACAGGCCAGCCGGCATTTGTCACGGCGGAGCGCCGCCTTCCGTACTATTCCGACACTCCGACGATCCGATGGGGCCCGCTCCTGTCGCAGCCGACCCGAGTCGATTCTCTCTCCAGCCTGATCCTGTCTAGTCCGACTCGCATTCTGATTCGATCCGATCTCCCGACTCGATGCTGGCTGATCCTGCCGTCCTCCTTGCTCCCCCCTGATGGGCCTGTTTTCCACCACCGCCACCACCGTAAGTTGGAGGGGGAAGGAGGAGGAGGACGACGAGGAGGAGAAGGAGGAGGACGAAGAGGAGTATAGGAGGAGGGGGAGCAGGAGGAGGGGGAGGAGGGGGTGGAGGAGGACCCCCTCCCCCTCCAACCTCTGGTGGTGGTGATGGAAGGCAGGCCCACCACCCCCGCCAGGGGCCCGGGAGGCTCCCTGGCTGCCTCGGACCTGCCCCCCCCCTCCGCTTCCCTCGCCGGCCCGTGGCCGCGGGCGCTGCCCCCCCGCACTCGGCGCCCCGACGGCGGACCCTGCCCTCGCGGACGCCTCCGCGGTCGCCGTCGCTGTCGCGGCGGCCGCCGCCGCCGCCGTCGCTGTCGTTATCGTCGTCGTCGTTATCGTCGTCGTCGTCAACGTCGTCAACGTCGTCGTCGTCGTCGTCGTCGTTAGCATCGTCGTCGTCGTCGTCGTCGTGGTCGTCGTCGTCTTCTTCGTCGTCTTCTTCGTCGACCACCGTCGCCGACGTCGCTGCAGCCGCCGCCTCTGCACCGCCGCCGCCGCCGCCGCGGGCGCCGCCGTCGCCGCGGCCGCCCGCCAGCCGTTCCATCAGGCGCTGGCCCGCGGCGTGGTCGTGCGGCGGCGGTTCCGGCTGCGCTTCCAGCGCGCCGTGGTGGCCGCGGTGTGCATCCAGCGCGTGGCGCGCGGGTACAACCTGCGGAAGGCGCTCTGGCGGCAGGCCGCGCGTGCGGCAGCTCGTGGCCGCCGTCCTCCTCGACATGCTCTTCGCCCTTCTCGTCCTCTGCCTCGCCCGCTTCACCCTCGTGCTCGCCCTCTCTCTCTCTCGTTCTCTCTCCTCCTCTTCCCTCCTTGCTTTCTTCTGTTATCCTTGTCCCCTCATGCTCATGCTTGTTATCCATAGATATGTGTTTCTACATGCTCGTCCCCTATATCGGAGGTTGGGGGGTGAGATCGAAGTGGAACGGAGAGCCCCCCTACCGGGAAATCGATTTCGGTTTCGTGTTCGTGCGTGCCGTGCGTGCGGGCGAGGCGAAGCTGCGTGGGCGGGCCAGAGGAAAGTCTCCTGTGGCTGACGCGCGGTGTCCCGCCGGTGTCTCGCTGTGGCTGAGGCGCGGCCGGACCAAATGATTCCCTTCCGGCAACCGCTGGCGCGCGGTGTCCCGCCGGTGTCCTGCCAGTGTCCCGTCCGTGTCCCGATGATGACGGTGATGATGATGATGATGATGATGATGATGCTGATGTTGATGCTGATGCTGATGCTGATGCTGATGCTGATGCTGATGCTGCTGATGATGATGATGGTGATGATGACGATGATGGTGATGGTGATGGTGATGATGGTGATGATGATGACGATGATGATGATGATGGTGATGATGGTGATGATTGTGATGGTGATGATGGTGATGATGATGGTGATGATGGTGATGATGGTGATGATGGTGATGATGGTGATGATGGTGATGATGATGGTGGTGATGATGATGGCGTTGATGATGGTGATGATGATGATGATAATGTTGATGTTGATGTTGATGTTGATGATGATGACGTCGATTGTGAGATCGATAGTGAAATCGATAATGAGATCGATAGTGAAACCGAATGAGAGATCGATTGTGAGATCGATAGTGAGATCGATTGTGAGATCGATCGTCAGATCGATTGTGAGATCGATCGAATGAGATCGATGGTGAGATCCTGTGTCCCGCCGATGTCCCGTCGGTGTCCCGATGATGACGGTGATGATGATGACGACGATGATGATGATGAGGATTATGATGACGTTGATGATGATGATGGTGATGATGGTGATGATGACGATGATGATGATGATGGTGATGATGGTGATGATGGTGATGATGGTGATGATGGTGATGATTGTGATGGTGATGATGGTGATGATTGTGATGCTGGTAAGGATGATGGTGGTGATGATGGTGGTGATGATGGTGACGTTGATGATGATGTTGATGTTGATGTTGATGATGATGATGACGTCGATTGTGAGATCGATTGTGAGATCGATTGTGAGATCGATAGTGAGACCGAATGAGAGATCGAGTGTGAGATCGATAGTGAGATCGATTGAGAGATCAATCGAATGATATCGATAGTGAGACCGAATGTGAGATCGATTGTGAGATCGACTGTGATATCGATTGTGATATCGGCAGTGATATCGATAGTGAGACCGACTGTGAGATCGATTGTGAGATCGATCGTGAGATCGTGTGTGAGATCGATAGTCAGAACGATTGTGGGATCGAGTGTGCGATGATGATGAGTGCAGGGGGTACGGACCAGGCTTTGCCAGCGCTTCCGTATTCCTGGACCAGATGAGGCGCCTTTTCGCCGGCTTTCCAGCCGTTTGTCTTGCTTCGGCTAGCGGTGCCTTCGGTTGTCGGCGTGAGCTCGAAAGAGTATGGCAAACAGAGTTACGATGGCGGTGCGTCGTCAGAAAAACAATCACCACTGTTGTCCATTGCTGGGCCCCTCCCCCCCCCAAACCTCCTTATCACCCGCAGGGTCGTTTAGGTGTATATATATATATATATATATATATATCGATTTGTGTTTCTATATGTTCGTCCTTGATTCTTATCCTCCTCTTTTCCCCTCCTCCTCATCCTCTTTCTTCCCCTTCTCCTCGAGTGGTCCTCCTCCCGGTCGCTGGCAGTGCCTCGGCCATCTCCCGTATGCCGGGCCGGCGGTTCGGGGTACCTTGCAGACTGCCCCCGGATCTTGGGATGGCATTGCCAATGCAGGTGCTTTTCGCCTGCCTCCGCCGACAACGTCGGAGCTTCTGGCAGCTCGCTCGTGCCGTGCGCACAGGAGGGCGTCGGTTGACGAGCACGCTGTCAGGGCTCCTGGTTGTGAGCTGGCGGCGCGACCGCATGCGGACGTGGCCGAAGCATCCCTGTGGAGCAAACAAAGCAGGATGGCAAACTGGCTGAGCTGCTCAAACCTCGCGCACACCCCCGTGTCAACAAATGTTCTAGAATCTGGATCGTTCATTGGTCATAGATTGGGTAGACGACCAAGCTCGGTGCTCTCGACGCTCTAGACTACAGCTATCGATGCTAACGAATCAATTTCTGTGATTGAGAGCTCTGTAGCTGTAAATCTCGAGGTCGCATCGAACAACCAAACACTTGCCCCAAAAAGGCTGCAAAGTGCGCCCTGGCCTCCAGCGACCACGGCCTGGCTCGATGAGCTCATTCGTTGATGTACAGCCGGGGGGCCGCCCACGAGTTTGGTGGCACCACGCCGGGCCAGCTGGCCAGCAAACGCCTTGAGAATGAAACAGGAGAGCAGGTCGAGAAACAGCAGCAGACGCAGGAGGCGGAGGAGGGGGATCGAGGATGTCTCGGGCGCAAAGCGCGTTCAGCGCCAAGGCGCGTGAACAGTGATTCTGGATTGTAGACTGTGCCTCCCCGGCTGATCGCCCCTTCTCCTCTTCCTCCTCTTCCTCCTCCTCGCGAACCCTTTTTTTTCATCATCTGTCTCCTCATTTTCCTCCTTCCTCCACTATCATGTCTCCTCCCAATTGTTGGTTCCTCGTCATCGTTCTCTTCCTCTTACTGCCCGTTCTCTTCCATCCCCCTCCATGATCACCCTCCTCATACCTTTTTCCTCCTTCCCCTCCTCGTCTTCATCCTCGCTCTTCCCAGCGTCCCCCCTCTGCGTTCTACTCTACCTACGTAATTCCCTCTGCCATTCTCCACCTCATCCTCCCCTGCCATTCTCCACCTTATCCTCGTCCTCCCCCCGCTGCCATCCAGTACTATCCTTTTTCATGCTGGCATAGGTCATGGGCGCGCGGGCCACGGTGATCCAGGCCAGCGTGCGCGGGTGGCTCGTGCGGAAGCGGCGGTGCCCTATGGGTTTCAACATGTAGCCACGAGAATGACGAGTCCCAGTCCCCCCCCTCTCTCGCTTCCGCCGTCCGTCGCCGTCGCCCAGGAGAGGGAATGGAATGGAAATAGGATCAAGCACGTAGTCAAAGTGAAAACTTTAATGCACGCGAGACCGTCAGTGTACGAAGACGATGAGCTTGGGCATTCAAGGGGTACGCCGCATGTTGAGGATGGACGTCACGAAGCCGCAGTACTTTCAACACACACACACACACACACGCCGCCAGCTGCACGCACACGATTGCAGCACCCCCAAGCCATTGAACCACAACGTAGTTGCGGACGCCCGTGAAAACGAAGTAATGCATAGACAGTGCGGCACCACATTGTATGGGCAATCGCCCTTGAAAGCGAGTTAAGTGCTGTTTCGGCAGTGTGTCTGCAAGGAGCGAACTGAACCAGAAGACGAAGCAGACCAGGGCATGCGGACGCAAGCGGAACCGCACCCAATCACCAAACCATGATGGAAACATAATTACAAGGCCGGCCCGAAGCACTCATGGGAATAAGAAATTGGCCCCACCAGCACACGATGGACGTACGCCCAGGGCCGAGGGTTTAGATGGGCTCGAAGCCTCCATATCTCCTCGACCTATAGCCTGGGACGGACCGCAGCCAACACGATGCGGGAGGAGACCAAGCAAACTTGGAATTCAGGATTGTGCACCGCCCACCCACTGAAGACCAGCAACCACAGCGTCACACGAAGCGTGATTGTGATTCCCGAGGGAGATGTTATCGAATCTGAAATAGCCAATAATACAGGTGGCCCAGATTAGTAAGTCGACCCTGCCAGATCAAGGGTCCCTCGTGTCCTGTGTATTGCGACCCATGACTCCTGCATTTCTGTGGCAACGTGACCCTCGAAAGGGTCGTGTGTCCTCTCGCGTGTCCTCTCAAATCAAGTCCGACTGTATGCGTGCCGCGAGAACCGCAAGCTACCAACGCGCATAATCTCTATATATATATATATATACTATAGCGGGGAACCATGTCCGGGGGTCCCTGGGCCAGCACCCCGACCGCAACTGTGTGGACAGGGCTGCCCGGGGCCCTGCCGCCGCGCCAGAGGCCCTCCGAGATCGCCCGAAGACGGCCAACACGGCACTTCACGGCCCCAAGAGGCATCCACGAGGCCCCCCAAGAGCGCCCACGCCTCCCGAGAGGCAACAACTCATGCGTTTTCTTGTGGGTTTGGGGGGATGTTGGTTGTCTCGCTTTTTCTGCTTCCCAAAGGCTCCAAGACGGCCCGAGACGCCTCCAAGGACGCCCCAGTGATGCCCAAGAGGGTCCCAAGAGATCTCCAGAACGCCCCGAGAGAGCTCCAAGACGGCCCGAGAGGGCTCCAAGACGGCCCCGAGAGGCCTTCAAGGCGGCCCCGAGAGGCCCCCAAGACGACTCCAGAGGGTCCAGGCGGGGGGCCCGCACAGACACTTCGAGCCCTCGGGCCCGAGAGGCCCCCAGGAAGCCCCGAGAGGCCCCCAGGAAGTTCCGAGAGGCCCCCAAGAACCCGCCACGAGGCTCGAAGAGGCCTCCAAGAGGCCTCACGACGCCTCCCCGGGGCAACCACGAGAGCCGAGCGCATCCATGCTTCGCAAGTTTTGGAGGACTTTCGCGATCTCGCCTTTTCGGCTTCCCAACGCTGCAAGGCGGCCCGAGACGCCTCTAAGAGGCTTCCAAGATCGCCCTAATTCTGCCCAAGAGGCTCCCGAGAGAGCCCCAAGACGCCCCGAGAAAGCTCCAAGACGGTCCCGAGAGGTCTCCAAGACGGCCGACGAGGCTTCTCAGACAGCCCCAGAGGCTCCCAAGACGACTTCAGAGAGGGTCCAGACGAGGGCCCCGAACGGGCATTCGAGCCCTCGGCCCAGAGAGGTCCCCTGGAAGCCCGAGGGACCCCCAAGAAGAAGCTCCCACGAGACCTCCAGGAGGCCCCCACAAGGCCTCCACGCGGCCCCCCAAAGAGCCAACCTCATCGATGTCGCCCGAAGTCGGCCTTAGATTGCTTGACAACGCGTTCCGAGACCGCCAAAACGGCCCATGACGGCCCCATGTTGGCCAGAAGTGGCGCTGCATTGTCCGAGTGGCCTCCAAGACGCCCCAAGAGGCTTCCACGAGGCCTCCCAAGAGGCCACACTCACCCATTTGTCGATGGGTTGTGGAGGGGTTTGGGCTTCCTCGCCTTCCCAGCCGCCCAACCCTTCCAGGCGGTCCGAGACCCATCCAAAGACGCACACATACTGCCCCAGAGACTCCCAAGAGGGCCCCAAGACGCCCCGAGAGAGCTCCAGGACGAGGGAGCTCCAAGACGGCCCCGGGAGGGCGCCCTGGGGCGGCCAAGCGGCGACCAAGACGGCCCAAGATAACCCCAAGACGGCCCAAGAGAGGTCCACGTCGATGACGGCGACGACGACGACGACGACGTCAACGGCGACGACGACGGCGGCGGCGGCGAGGCGGCGGCGGCAAGACGGCTTTGAGATGGCCGAAAAGCGCTTCAGGAGAACCCCAGACCGCCTGAGATCGTTCAGGATGGCCTAAGATGGTTCCGAGAAGTTCCAGCAGGACACCAAGATTGCCCAAGAGGCCCTCAAGAGGACCCCCAAGAAGGCTCGAGGAGGCCAAACACACAGGCAACGGTTGTTGTCGGTCTTTAGAGGTCTCGCCTTTTCGGGCTTCAACGGCCTAAGAGGCCCCAAAGATCGCCCCAATGCGGCCCGAGAGGCCCCGAAGAGGGCCTCCGTAACCATTTTGACTCAAGCCATTCTGCTTCGATCAAATATTGGTGGCACACCCTCGTACGACCAGATACTCCGCAACCTCTGTCCGGCTTCTGTTCAGGTATGATCGTCGCGAGACCCTCCGTGATGCCATTGTCGAGCATTTTGCCCGTTGCACAGCGTGCCCTTGCCCTGGAGACGGGTACGTTCACTCACACCTTGCGTGTCCTCGAGGCCGAGACGATGATCGTCCTTTACTACCCTTGGGTGGTAGCGCGTGTGAGCCCCCCCCAAAAACCCATCCCCAGGTAACGTTAAAGATTGCAAGTTGGGCACAAACGTGAATCCTTGCAGCTTCCACAGACGAATGTAAGGAGTACACAGGCGGTCCGGCGCACGCAGAAATCGACGTGCACGCAGGGCCAGTACCCTGCGGTGGACAAGGGCGCTGTGGCGCACGCAGGCACTGTGGCCTGCGCGTATGTTGCGGTGCACATGGCTCCTCCTCCTCCTCTTCTTCCTCCTCCTCCTCCTCCTCCCCCTCCTCCTCCTCCTCCTCCTCCTCCTCCTCCTCCTCCCCTCCTCCTCCTTCCCCTCCTCCTCCTCCTCCTCCCCCTCCTCCTCCTCCTTCGCCCTCCTCCTACTGTAGTTTGCACAGGCGTTGCGGTGTTCACAGGCGTCGTGATGCACGGAACCATTTTGGTGTACACAGGCGCTGTGGTGCACGCGGCTGTTGTGGTGTACACAGGCGTTGTGGTGTTCGTAAGCGACAGGTAGAGGAGGGGCGGGACACTGAGGATGAGGCGGAGGGGGAAGAGGAGGTGGGAAGGGGGAGGGAGCCAGATAATAGCATACTTTCAGCTTGGTGGCTCCACTGGTGGGGGGTGCCTGCGGGTTCTCGTTGTTGTCCGTTGTTTCCTACGGCCGCAGCCAGCTTGCCAGCGCAAGGAAGGCGAGGCGGCGACCCCAGCGCGGGCGCTCAAGGTTGCGACGCGGCCCGGGGGGGCCTTTCGGGCTCCAGGGTTCTCAGAAACGAACCTGCGATGTGAAATCATGGCTCACAATTGTGCCGAGAGCTGCCGGTTGCGCAGATGGTTCAAGATGGAACGATCCGCCCGGTGTTCGAAACCTATTTCCAAGGCGTCATGGCATGGACCTGCCGTACAGCCGTGAACGCGGCGGTCGCCGTGGAAGATAGGGACGCGAAGGACAGGGGCCGTGTTCTTTCGTTGTTTTTAATGCCCCCTTGGGCTTCTCGACGGGCCCTGGGGCCGTCAGAAAATGATACTGGCTGGCAAATTCGTCCTGCCGGCGCCCTTGGGATCCAGGGCCCGTGTCTCTCGGGACTTGATTGGTCCATGCTAGAAGGTTCCCATGGTTCGTTCTCACAAGCGCAACGTGGTGCTCGCGAGCTACCCATGTGCCTTCCAGCACGTTTGGCGCTGCGGTGTGCACAGAGGCGTCGTGGTGCACAGTGGCTTTGTGGTGTGCACAGGCGCTGTGGTACACATGGTTGCTGTGGTGTGCACGTGCGCTGTGAGGTACACAAGCCGTGGTGTACACAGGCGTTGTCGCGCACGCGGCTGTTGCAGTGTACACCAGCACTGTGGTCTACACGCGCGACGTGGTGCTGTGGTGCGCGCGGCTGCTGTGATGTACGGAGGCACTGGTGTACGCGTGCGGCGCTGTGTTGCACGCAGGCAGTGGGCATTGTCGTGTACACAGGGACTGGCACGCAGGCATTGCGCATTCTCGTGTACACAGGGCCTGTGGTGCACACAGGGGATTGATGTGCTGGTGGTTCGGATTCACCCTGGCGGGGGCACGCCGCGGCTGCTGTTACCGGTACCCCCGGCCTGACCCCCTGCCCCCCACTCCCGCAACACGCGTTGCCCCAGTGCATAAAAAAGCGATCTCGTGTTGTGGCAAGATCGAAGCTACGTTGTGCACGTCCCTTCGCAGATCGCCGAACTCTTTACCATTCACATTCTTTTCCGCGATTATCCCTGGGCGTGCGAAAATTTCAGCGTCACCAAGTACACGGACGAGTTGGGTTTAGTAGCCGTCTGCTCCAGCGGCTATCGAGGCCCTACTGAAGCAGGTGGACTTGGAACATTGGGATGGAGCGTAACAGAGGGGCGGGAGAAAACGAGGTTCCAGACGTCGCGTGCGTTTTAGATGTTGGTCCCACGCGTAAAGGATCAGTCGCTGGAGATGCCATTGGGAAGCAATCCAAATATTGTTAACTCGTGGTTGTCTTTGGTAATGACGCAGGGTTTATTTGGCGTCTTCCATGTAGCTTCAATCCCGAGCTGCTCCAGGAATTTGGTGCTTTTGCCGGTTATGGAGGGACTGCATCCGAAACGCCTACCGAGTTTTTCCATTAGTAATCCAGCCATTGCGATAATCACAATGTACCGCTGCGGGAGGGCAAGTTTCCAGATGTATATTATGGTTTGAATTGCCCTGCCATCCCCAAGATGCTTGGATGCTTCGAGTCTAGGCCACCCACACCAGAGCCTACGCAATGCGCGGATGATGATGCTGGTGCGATCGAAGTGCCAATTGGCCTGGGCATGACGCTCAATGACTGTATTGACGTGCATTTCTTTTGCGACGGTCCGATGTATGGCAGCACTGCACGCCAGATGTGCCCTTTCACGTGTGGCGCCTGCAAGGTGGTCGGCTGCCTGGTGAACGATGGCACGGGTCTGAGTTCCGCGTACCCGTGTGTTTGCGGATTGAGCATATGTTTTGCATTTCAGCCACGAGTCAGTTCCTCTTTTGCGTGGGTGATAACGCCGTGGCGATTGAACTTGCAAACGGCCTGGGCATGATCATCAGTGGCTGTGCTACGTCTACAAGAGGACAGGGCCTGTCCAGATTGCCGGCTCCATGTTCCCCGCAATTTCGCCTGCCCGATGCGGGCGTCTTCGATTGCTAAGTGCCGTCAGGAGGCGCGGGAAGGAGGCCAGCGTTGGAGCGGGAGCACGATTTTGCATGACCGAAGCGCGGAAGTGAGGGCGGCGCCGCAGCGGGAGCACCATTTTGGAAGAATCATAACCGACCGGACTGACAAACACGCACAGGAACAAAAACAAGTCATGGAATTTTGTGTGTGAGAACAATGCGCGGAGAGGACGCGACAATCTCCAGACAGAGTCAGGGGAGAGAGGAGAGTAGTACCCACGTTGCGTAACTGTGGAGGGGGACGAGGCGCAAGAGGAGGAGGAGCCAGATGAGGAGGAGCAGTACGAGTAGGAGGAGGAGGAGGAGGAGGAGGAGGAGGAGCAGGAGCAGGAGCAAGAGGAGGAGCAGGAGGAGGGAGAGAAGAGGCTGCGCTGGTTGTGGCCGGCCCCCGGGGGGGTCCCCAGGCGCCTGGTGCTGGCCAAGGTCATCATGATCCAGCGGGCCTACCGCGCGTGGCGCAGGCGCGCGGTCTGGTCTGGGGCGCGCGAGGGGCTGCCAGCTGCTGCCCTCGTCCGTTTGCCCGTGAATCGAGGGGGGGGTAACCACCCCGACCCCAGCACTGGCGTTTCTTGAATGGCCCTGGGCGTTTGATAAGCTTGCCTCTTCGATGCCTCCCTCGGGTGCTCTTGCTGCACGGCTTCGCTTGCCGGTGTGAATGATGCGGGTGGGTTCTCAGCCCTCCAGAGTGGGAAGCGGGTCCTGAGAGAAGCCAGGACGAGGCCAGGATCGTGAAAACACCGGAGCGGGGTAGATGTGGGGACCTCTGATCACCGGGGGTCTGGGAGATGCGTCGAGCCGCTGAGGGTGTTTTGGAACGCTCTGGATCGGCTTCTCTGGATCCGAGGCCTGCCTCGGAGCGGGTCGGTGCGGTTCTTCGCCGTCCTCGGCTTCAGGGTCCTCCCACGGGCTCCTGAAATCAGTGGCCACATGTGAGCCCTACCCCCCCCCACGGTTTCGACGGGGGGGGATGGGGGTTCACTCCGCTCGGGACCTCCCGAACGGAATGACCCCCCCCCCTGTGGAAATCGGGGGAGGAGGAGAAGGAGGAGGAGGAGGAGGAGGGGCATGTGGTCACCACCGGAGCGTGAGTGCAGCGGCTCGAGAATGAGAAGCGGGTCCTGGAGGAGACCCCCATCGGGGCGGGGTCCAGGCCCGGCCTCCTTCCGGGCCGTATCATTCCTGGCACTCCACATCGTCGTCGTCGTCGTCGTCGTCGTCGTCGTCGTCGTCATCGTCGTCGTCGTCGTCGTCGTCGTCCTCGTCGTGGTCATCGTCGTCATCCTCGTCCTCGTCATCCTCGTCCTCCGTGTAGTTCCTTCACCTGCTCCGTCTCTGCCTTCCCTGTGCGAAGCATGGTGTGATCTGTATTGCAGAGTTCCTGTCCAGGGTGTCCGTATTCCTCGGTCTCCGTTTCATCCCCTGATCTTTCATCACAGTTTCGTCATGCATTTTGCCTTGTATAGTTTTTCTCCTTCAACTTCGGCGTGCCTGCCCGGGCACCTGTGGAAGCAGGAAGACGGAAGTGGGAGGAGGGGCGAGGGAGGAGGGGCGAGGGAGGAGGGGTGGGGGGAACTGGAGAAGGGCGAGGACGGAGAAGAAAGCGGCAGCACGGAGAGGAAGCAGGAGGACGGAGAGGAAGGCGGCAGCACGGAGAGGCAGCGAGAGCGGGAAGCGGTAGGGACTGGGAGCTGGAAGCGGACGACCAGGTGGCCGGGTGTCCTCGCCGCCGGCGCAGCCGCCGCCGTGGTCGGCGCCGCCGACGCCTCCGCGGCCGCCGCCGCGACCACGACCACCGCCACTCGACGACGACCACGGCGACGGCCCCGAGCCGACGACGACCGCGAGGGCGCCGGCGACCACGACGACGGCCAGGGCCAGGGCCAGGGCGAGGGCCAGGGCGAGGGCGAGGGCGAGGCGGCGGCGGCGGCGGGGGCCAGGGCCAGGGCCAGGGCCAGGGCCACGGCGCCCAGCGCGGCCGCCGCCGCGGGCCGCCTCGCCGCCCACGGCTCCCCGGCGAGGCTCCCCGAAGACCGCCGCGCGGAGGCCGCGCGGTTGCGGGCGGGGCGGCGGGAGAAGGCCGCCGTGATCCAGCGGGCGCGCTCGGCGGCCGTGATCCCGCCGCCGCTGGGCGGCGCGGTCGTCGTCGTGGCCGCCGGCAGCCGCCGCGAAGATCCTGACGACGACGACCACAATTCGTGGTTGTCGTCGTCGTCGTCTTTTCGTCGTGGTCGTCGTCGTCGTCGTGGTCGTCGTCGAGGTCGTGGTCGTCTCGTCGTCGTCGTCCTCCGTCGTCGTCGTCGTCGTGGTCGTCGTCGTCGTCGTGGTCGTTGTCGTCGTCGTCGTCGTCGTCGTCGGCGTCGAGGTCGTGGTCGTGATCGTGGTCGTGGTCGTTTTCGTGGTCGTCGGTCGCGGGGCGTCGTCTCTCGTGGTCGTCGTCGGGGTCGTGGCCGCGTTCTGTCGTGGTCGTCGTCCGTCGTTCCCCTGCTGGGTCCCGCCGTGCGATCGCTTCTCTCCCTCCTCTTCCCTTCCCCTCTGCTTCTGCCTCCCTCCCCTCCCCCGCCCCTCTCCCCTCCCTTCCTCCCTTTCTCCCCCCATCTCCTCCCCCGACGTTTCCTCCCCCCCATCCCCTCCGTGCGCCCTCTTCCCCCTCCTCCCCCGCTCGCTCGCTCCCTCATCCCTCCTCGTCCTCGCCCTCCCTGCCCGCCCCCCCTCCTCGTTCTCCCCATTCTCCTCCCACCTCGCCCTCCCCCGCTCGCTCGCTCCCTCATCCTTCCTCGTCCTCGCCCTCCCTCCCCCCCACCTCCTCCTCGTTCTCTCCATTCTCCCCCCACCTCGCCCTCCCTCCCCCCCCTTCTTCCCTCGCCCTGTGGCCGCGCCTCTCATCCGGAGTTCAGGGCGGGGCGCCAACCCGGGCGGGCCAGGAGTGGTGGGGCGAGCCAGGCGAGGAGGACGAGAGGGATGAAGTTTGAGGAGGCGGAGGAGGAGGAGGAGGAGGAGGAGGAGGAGCAGGATGAGGAGGAGGAGGAGGAGGAGGAGGAGGAGGAGGAGGAGGAGGGGGAGGAGGAGGAGGAGGATGAGGAGGAGGAGGGGGAGGAGAAGGAGGATGAGGAGGAAGAGGAGGAGGCCGAGGACGAGGCCGAGGCCGAGGACGAGGACGAGGACGAGGACGAGGACGAGGACGAGGAGGATGAAGTTGGAGGCGGAGGAGGAGGAGGAGGAATTAGAAGTGATCGGGTGAGGGGTGAGGGGTAATGATGATGATGATGATGATGATGATGATGATGATGATGATGATGATGATGATGATGATGATGATGATGATGCTGACGATGTTGATTATGCTGATGATGAGGATGAGGATGATGATGATGATGATGATGATGATGATGATGATGATGATGATGATGATGATGATCATGCTGATGCTGATGATGCTGACGATGGTGATGATGATGGCGATGATGATTGGGAAGGATGATGAGGATGGTGATGATGATGGTGATGGTGATGGTGATGGTGATGGTGATGGTGATGGTGATGGTGATGGTGGTGGTGGTGATGATGATGATGATGATGATGATGATGATGATGATGATGATGATGATGATGAGGAGGATGAGGAGGAGGGAAAGGAGGAAGAGGAGGAGGGGGATGATGATGAGGAGGAGAGGATGTGGAGGTGGAGGAGGAGTATAAGAGCAGGAGGAGGGTGATGGATGGAGGAGGGGAACAGGAGGAGAACAGGAGGAGGAGGAGGAGGACGAGAAAGCTGGGGAGGAGGAGGATGAGGAGCGAGGTGGCAAGGATGATGCTTCCCCCCCTCCTGCCCGCATCGGGCCAGGTCTCTGTTGCTGCAGCTACCCCCATCTGCCCTCCCTGCCCCACCCGCCTTGCGCCCCATCCCCCTCTTAATTCTGCTCTTTCCTTCCCCTTCCCCAGCCTTGCTCGTCCTCCTCCCTTCTCCGCTCCCCCCTCCCCCTCCCTCACCTGCTCTCCGTCTTCCGCCTCTCCGACCCCTCATCCCTCCCTCCCTTTCCGTCCCCCTCCCATTTTGGACCGAGTCGCAAGCGGGAACTGCAATTACATGCTTCTCCCTCTAGTGGCTTATCGAGCCAATCTGCCAGCTGTTCGACGTCGAGAGAGCGTCGTCGCCAGGACCAGTTGCGGAGGAGAGGAGGGGAATCTGGCAAGAGAGGCCTGGTGGCAGACAGGACGACATACCACGTTCTATCCCCTCGTTTGCGCACCGCCCTGCTCTGACTGCTCCTGGGACGCGTCTGTCGCACCACCCTAACTCTGTAAGCGTTCTCTTGCCTACGCGTCCACAGGATGCACGGCCACTGGCTGACCGACCGACGCTCGAGGTGGTGCCCCCGCCCTGAACGCCGGGGCGCGTGCTCACTGCGGCGGGTGCCCGCGGCGCTCGCGCCCTGCCCGCACCAGAATCACAGGGCGGAGGGGTGCCCCGCTGTTCTGCCGCTGCTTTGCCACTGCTTTTTCAAGCAGTGGCGAAGCGTCCTGGCGTGCGTGCAGGCCTACCAAAGGATGTTCTGAGAACCTTTTGTGGTGTCCACGACATGTTCTTAGAACAGTTCTGGCTGGGACTGTTTTGTTTCAACACATCTGGTTGATGTTCCAAGAACATTGTTTTTGTTGTTCGAAGAGTTTGGGGTTCTAAGACCATGTCGTGGTAGACCTATAGGAATGCCGCGACGGTCGATCCCTACTCAATGCTTGCCCCCAACACCTGCGCTGACCTCGCTGCAGGAGCTGATTTCGTTGGGCTGCCACCACTCCCCACCTGCGCCGCACGGCAACCCCGTAGAGGATAGATGCCAGGTTCAGCATCGACTGCCGCATCTCGCTGAACAGTGACAGCGCCTGCTGCCAGTGCCGTGTTTCTCGCACGCGCTGGCTCCAGCATTGTACGGGATCACGTCGGGCTTCAGAAGCAGATGGTGAATGGAGCACCCGAACTCTGGAGTGGCCCCATGACAGACAACGCTATACACCACCAACTTCACGATCAACAGCAGCAAGAGGAGCCTGCCGATGTGGTGATGGATGAAGCAGATCATCAAGACCTTCTCCCCGAACCAGCACCCCCAGCTCGCAATCGGCGGTCAGCATGGTGATCCTCATTCTCCTTCCTCCTCCCACGTCTCGCTGAGCAGCGCCAGGCTGCCGACCGCCATTTTCGCACGCGCTGATGTCAGCGCTTTATCTGACGACGCCAGTCTCCAGGGTCGACCCCTTTCATCTCGTTCCGCCAGTGCTCGTCCTTCCCGCGCGTGCTGATCCCAGCGTCGTGGCTGACTACATTGAGCTCCATGCTTCGTTTACCGAGCCTATGTAAGCAAGCGCCAGGGTCCGTTGCCACTGCTCGCCCACTGTGTTACTTCCTTCACGAGCCGATCTGGGCTCTGTAGATGACGACGTGGGGCTCCCGATCCACCTCCCACTTCCCACCCAGCCACTGCCTGTCCATCCCGCATGCGCAGATCCATCCCAGCCGTGCCACTGGTGAAGTTGGTTTCCGGATTCGTCCCCAACTTTTCGCTCAGCGTTGCCAGAGACCGTTGCCATTGCCCGCCATCCTGATGGGCTTGTTTTCCGCCGCCACCAACATAAGCTGGAGGGGGGAAGGAAGTGGAAGACAAGGAGGAGGAGGAGGAGGAGGACGAAGTGGAGGAGGAGGAGGAGGAGGAGGAGAGGAGGAGGAGGAGGAGGAGGAGGAGGAGCTCTTGCGGGCTCTTTCACAAGGCGACGGAGGTCGCGCGAGGGGGAGGAAAGAGAGAGAGAGAGAGAGAGACGCCCCGCGGGCTGGCCTCGCCTGCCGGGGGGCCGCGCGCGCAGGCCGCCTCCACGAGGCCCGCGCGGCCTCGCGGCGGAGGCCCTCGCGGAGGCGTCGGCGCGTCGCTTCGGCGCTGGCCGCCTCGGCCGCCCTGCCGCCACGGGGCGCCGCCGCGTGGGCCGACGGACCCAGTCGCAAGCCTAGAGATTGACACCAACACCAATATCGGCGGTGTGCCTCCACCGAGGGAAGAAAAACCCGATCTCGGCGACGGTGGTAATATTCTGGCTTCCAAGGTGACCGAACTATTGCCACCAACACCGAAGTCTAGGATCATCTTCCCCCTGTGGAGGCAAACCCCTGTGTTGGCGTTGGTGCTCATTTCCAGGCCTCCAAGACCTGTGCCCGCCCACACTCCAGGCCCCTTCTGGCGTGCCTCCGCGGGGCCCCTCCTGCGCCTGCGGCGGCGGCGCCCCGTTGGCCGCCCGGGCCCGGAGGCCGAGAGCGCGCTGGCCTCCCGCGGTGTCTCCGCCGGGGCGTCGCGCCTGGGCGCGTCGGTCTCCTCCTCGGCCACCTCGTCTCCGCGTGCTCGTCCACGGGCAGGCCCGCGCCCGTGCCCTCTGGCCGCCAGCAGTAGCCGAGCGGGTGCCTCTCTCCTCCTCAGCTCGGCAGCCTCCTCGTCTCTGCCTCGCTGCGTCCTCTGCCTCCCCGTCCTCTGCCTCGGCTCCGCCTCGCTGCTGCGTCCTCTGCCTCCTCGTTCTCTGGGCGCCGCCGCGCAGGCCGCGGCCCCGAGCCCGCCCGCACTCCAGGCCCGCTCTGGCGTGCCTCCTGGAGCCCCTCCTGAGCTTGCGGCGACGGCGCCCTTGTGCCTCCTGCTGCCTTCAGCGGTCTCGGGGGGCGTTGGTTCCCAAGCGGCTGGTCCTGCGCGCACAGGCTTGCTGCCGGATGCCTCTCCGCACGCCCTCCCAACACCCCTTGCGTCCTGCCTGCTGGCCTCGGCAGTCTCTCCTGCTTCTGGCTTTGCTCGGCAGCCCTCTCCTCTCGTGCCCACTCGAGCCCTTTTCCTGCTTCGCCTGATTTCTCCTCCTCTCTTTGACCAGCAGCTCGCCCTCCCCGCAGAACACCGCTTGCCGTCTCGCCTCCCTCGAGGGCGCCAGGTCCAGCTCCGCTCAGACTTGGCTCCGACACGTGGGCACTGTGATGATGGCAGTCCCCTTGACTAACCACTGCGGCACGGCCGTCACCTCCTCTGGTTACCTCCTCCTCCTTCTCTGGCATACCCCGCCAGACTTCCCG